CGGAGGATGAAGGTACAACCAATGAGATAGCCTTATAATGTGTGAGCCAAAAAACAAGGACAGTGGGCATGAGGTACGACTAGTTCGATGGGAAGCTAGTTGAATAAAGAGCCAAGGTCACAAAAAGAAAAACGCGGGAGATGGGAGAACTTGAAGTAGAGACAAGCGGCAGGGGCCGTTAGTCGTACAGTGCTCTTAGTTGTAAAACCTTTGTGAGTCGAGTGAAACATTTTGCGCCAAAATGATGCATTTTATTGCGCATGTACTCAAACCGAAAACCGCCCCAATCCACGCTCATACTTTCGCAGGTCACCAAATCTCATTGTCCACTGAAGCAGTCATACCCCTGGCGGGAAAGGTCTGGTGGAATAATTTCTTAACATCGCAGAGACCTCCAGATGTCTATACAGGACTCAAAAGTTCGGACTGGTATTCTGAACTCAATTGGCTGATTCCTTAGTCCATCGGTAGCACTTTATTGCTTTCGAAAATCCAATTTCATTGTGCGATCACCAAGCTCCTAAAATGGCAAGTTTCGTCTTTAAAAACGGTTTTAACTAGAACTTATCAGACTCACTGGCGTCACCATTGTAGGGATATCAGGCGAAAAAAGTGGTTTCGGTGGAGAGGCCGTTAGTCGTACAGTGCTCTTAGTTGTAAAACCTTTGTGAGTCGAGTGAAACATTTTGCGCCAAAATGATGCATTTTATTGCGCATGTACTCAAACCGAAAACCGCCCCAATCCACGCTCATACTTTCGCAGTTCACCAAAATCTCATTGTCACTGAAGCAGTCATACCCCTGGCGGGAAAGGTCTGGTGGAATAATTTCTTAACATCGCAGAGACCTCCAGATGTCTATACAGGACTCAAAAGTTCGGACTGGTATTCTGAACTCAATTGGCTGATTCCTTAGTCCATCGGTAGCACTTTATTGCTTTCGAAAATCCAATTTCATTGTGCGATCACCAAGCTCCTAAAATGGCAAGTTTCGTCTTTAAAAACGGTTTTAACTAGAACTTATCAGACTCACTGGCGTCACCATTGTAGGGATATCAGGCGAAAAAAGTGGTTTCGGTGGAGAGGTAATGCCAAACAGACACGGCAAACGAAATTCAATTAGTGGAAGGCGCATACTGAAATTGAATTGGAAAACCATGCAGGTTAAATCCGAACAAGAGGTTCTGTGGGTCAGAGGAAACTAGTTTACGAGGCGGTTAGGGCCGGGTGAAAAAATCTATTCGTGGTTGCAACTACAGGCACTAGTGGGCGACGGTGGAGGTTAAGAGGCAAATAGTTGCGGTAGTGCCATCACATTGGGCAGGGGATCGCCTTACCGTCATTGCATTCGGTCTCTGGACAGCCCTCACATTTCCGCCTTGTACCATCTGGAAGTTGCTGCGTAAAATACCGGAGCTCATAATCAGTCTGATGATGGCACTCGCTAGCCCCCATCTAAGCAACGGTGCAGGACAAACGTGTTTCCCCGAGGTTCTCACATAAAATCACTTAACTTGGAGGAAAATGCGGTATTTGACGATATAGTGCGCCGAGAGATGCCGACTGCTACTGTCGGTAATAGCGCAGGGATAGCCTGTTGCCAGTAAAGTATGGAGTGAAGCTCAGACAAATTTCGATTGCATTTCCTGTAGCTGTCTGAAAGTGGCGTTTTATTGCGAGGATGCCTAGAATATGAGTTTTTGGAGTATACTAATTAGGATAGAGGGGACCATAGCGGCTTCATTGATAACGCGCGCAAATCGCAGTCAGGCATCCCTAATGCATTCTATTCAGTCAAATAAAATCTGCCTGAAAAACATCTCGGGACTATTTGGTCAACCAGTTCATAACCGAGGCTGAAATCGCCTTGGGCCCTGGAGATGAAGCATAAAACAAATGGAGAGCCATTGCCACAGTGTAGCGACAGAAATGGGATGATTCACCAATGAATGACCTGTGGACCAAAGTGGACCAGCAAAACAAGCAGCTTGCTGCTAACGGATAATGATAAGGTTTTGGCTAACCCGCGTGTCTCCGGATGAGTTGCGATGAGCGCTGGTACACAGACTACGATACAGACCACTATTAAGATGTGAAGAGTTGTGCTTATTGCGTATGAAAGCAGAGGTGTTGCTGAGGTAGAAAGAGAACGAAGTTGGAAGCAAATCTTGCGCTCTATCCATGAAGGCGGCAGCTGGATACCGAATGAAGGTTGGTCTTTTCATTGCGCTCAATATGCCTAGGTGACAGGTCGGAGTGGCAAGAGTTTTTTATCAGCTCAGACACAAAGAAGTCAATTTTGATAGCGGATTCTTTGAGAGCGCCTGACAGCCAAACTGAAGAGTACTCAGGACGCTGGCCTGCGGGTAAATGCCAGGAAACAGCCCGCCCGTAGTTCGGGTGGATCGTTTGGACACTGGGCGGCTCAAGGGGAATTTGCCGCTGGTGGAAAATCTGTCAAGGATCCTGAGATGAGCTTTCACCAATTCGAAGTGGTCACTATGGCAGTTTTACGGATAAACGGTACACTACTGTCGGTTTGTCAAGGATTTCAACACCATTGCTGCTCCACTGTGCGACTTTCTGCGCCATAATAGATAGTTCCAATTGACCACTCAGATGCACGAGACATTCGAATCTCCTGCATCCCCTCATCTTCCCAAGCTTTGGACTTCGGAAGCGCCCGTTCTGGACGACCTGGTTAGCTGATATCGGCTCCACCTAGCCAATGATCCAGAACGCCAGGATCACCAAGCGGACCAAGAAAACCTACAATCCCATATCGGTTTCATTCCGGCCTGTTTCCTCGACCGGGCTGAAATGAATACCGCTGTTCAGTGAACTGCACACCCCAGCCGAATCATCTCAAATGTGACGTCCGTCATGTGGCTGTCCAAAGACTGAAGCATGTCCGGCCAATGATGGCACGGCACTGCCATACTCAGTTTGATAGCACACCCTACCATGACATTCATTCCAACCTGTTGCACTACTCGTTCGAATTCAACCACCTCTGTGTCCCCATCCAACCTAACCCCTTCACCTGACTTCCCAACAGCAGTGCAACCAGTGATTCCGCTTGTTCTCACATTGCACCATATTTTTGAGACTAAACTTGCCGTGTTCGCCCAATTCGAATTATCCCATCTCCACCTCCACTTTTGCTCGTTATCGCTCCGGCCAGACGCCCAAGGTCACTCATGGCCAGCAACGGTTTTCCAGTTTTAGTTCATGTCAGCCGACTGAGTCTTTGCATTAGTCGGACCTCATGCCCACTGTTCCCCACAAGATGCGAAAGAAACCTATTATTATTATTTAAACGAGTACTTCTCATTGTTTATAGCATTGCCCCCTTTTCGCGCAATCCCCACTACCCGCAAATCCCTCAGTCATGACCCATTCTGACTGTAAACGCATGATCATGCCAGACGGTATGCCACCCACAAGTTGGGAATAAATATTATTATTATTATACCTGTGCAGTCATTAAGCAGAGGGACAGAATCATCGAATATGCCACTCGTATCCTGACTGGCACTGGGCAGAGGCACTCCACCACTAAAAAGAATGTTTAGCGATCTTCGAGCATACGGGCAAGTGCATGCCACACTCATTGGTATGGTTTCACGTTGAAACAGATCACAAACCCCTTGACTCGATCGGTACTACGAGTGACTCTCTCGATGAGTTCGCACTCTAAAGACCCCGAATTCAAGAGTGATTTCACGACCCGGCAAATGCCGGCAAAAGAGAACCACCTGGCTGACCGACTGTCAAGTGGAGACCCCGAAGACAATGATCGGCACCAATATCGTCGTCGTCGGACTGGACCCCGGAAAGTTGGTGCGACAACAGCGGCAGGATTCCGTAATACAAAATGTTGGAGCCGCCTGGTTGAACGAAGGGCTGTTGAGAACGTGTTTGGAGATAGCGTACCGCTCCGGGAGAACCACGATAAGCTGCCATGGTATCCTGGGACGCCACACATTCGAATGTTGTAATGCCCAGGGTACCTTGCAACCTGAGGTGAAAGCTGATTGCCGAATGCCACGATATGGCATACGCAGGTTGTAAAAGGACCTATGTGGTTAGGGCTATATCCGTCATCCATACGTCTAGTACTCTACCCAAAAAGACAATCCAGTTGGGCTTCAGCAACGCTTAGTCTACCCACATGAGCGTTCGTATCACCAGCAACCGCGACAGTGTTCGAGCTTTCCACCGGTTGTAAAAGAGCATCTAGAGCGTCACAGAAACTGTCTTTTTGGCGGTAACATAGTCCGTTGGGGCGTGAGCACACACAGTAAACAGGGTGCGACAGACGTCTCTACAGAATTCCTCACGGGCCGCTAAGTGAGCAACGCAGAGGTGACTATCAACGAGTATCCAATCAAGTAGAGACGCTTCAGCTCGATCGTGCAATTTACCCCCAGAAAATAATTGCTCAGCGGTGCCTGGCTGCTATGCCAAGCCTAGGCAGGAGAAATCGAAGTGCGGAGATTGGGTTCGAAACACAGACCTCCCGCTCAGTAAATCCGCACTCTAACCACTAGGCCACCTACCTACGCGTATCCAGCTACAGCAGCTTCCGCAGGACCAGTATTGTGTAGCCAGAACTTGAAAGATGGCGAAGGAGCTGTTGGTTCACTTACAGCAGCTGCGGCCTGTATCCTTGCTCCTGACAGACAGCGTAGAGCTGCTTGTCCTGCTTGCTCCATCGTGCAAAGATTGAAGGTAGCTAATAAGGCTGGCTTTCACGGGTTAAAAACACTTCGAGGTGTATGGACGGACAGGCGCTGCAGCATGGTGAACAAGGTTTCCAGTCCTGGTGCTGGGACCCACGGCGAGTATTGAAATTGGCAGGGTGTGTTAGAGGAGGAATCACGTAGAAGTGTAGGCAGGGAGCGTCAGCAACGGTGTTTTTGCTTACCCGCCATGCCCGGAGTCCTGCTGCCCATAATGACCGAACAGCGTCAATCAGACAGATGTGTCACGTGCGAGCTACGGACCTAACGAAGGCATGCCTTGATTGGTCAAAATGTCAGCCAGTCCGGCTCGAGCATCTTTAGCTCGACGTTTGTCGCCCCTGCACGGAGATTCTAGCACGACGATGTGGAACACCTTACGACGACCCTGTAAGTACGGTTATAATAATCATCCTTTGTCTCCACAAAGGGTTGTCTGAAGCTACCATGCCTTTGATATATAGTAGTGGGCAGAGCGGAAGCCAAAGACTGAGAGTTGCTCGACGTTTCAGCAAGTCACAACTGGTGACAAACCGAACCCAGGACGTCAATTTCGGCAGAGTAACCCAAAGTAATATTTGTAATGCACTACTCATAAGTTGGCTGAAAATCCGTCGACAGCCCACGACCGTTTCCGCTCTTTTGGGGGCGCATCAGGTAGGCGCAGTCCCAGGGTTCCCGCCAACCATATGTTCTACTTGAAACCAGATTGCACGAAATTAGCAAATATACACTCATTTGCAAACTAATTTGGTTCTTCGAGAGACTCAATCATTTGCAATTTGGTTCTTCGAGAGACTCAAACTAATTTATAGCCGCAACAGGAGTTCAAAGGACAAACGAGGCTTGTTAAGTCTCTGATGAGCGCAACTGAGCCATACATGCCAGTGTCGTTAACGATTGGTGAGTTGAGTCGGGGGGGGGGGGTGACGAGGGAGACGACAATTATCGATCCGACTCAATTTACAGTCTTCATACTTCGTTGGCAGGTCATACAGACGGCTCTCTGGCATTCGAAGTGGATACCCTAACCAACATGACACATGAAGCATGAGTAGTTCATAAAATCATCTGACGTACCTCAGCATTCTAATCCGATATTCCCACCAGATCCGGCCAAGGCTTCGGGGACACCGATGGTCAAAACTAAAAACCTTCGTACGTCCTCTAAGCGTAGACGCAACGCTTCGGAAACATGGAAACGTATAGGCCGAACGGTCGCAGTGTTTACTCTGCCTGTGGCAGACAAAAGGACATCACATCGACGCCATAGGTTTCAAAGGTTGGCAAAAGCTGTCCTGGACATCCACTGGAACACACAACTAAGTTTGCCTACGACGCAGACTGACTCATCTACAAGCTTGGGTTTGATCCCATAGAGTCTTGTAGCATCACTCCACACTTTGCAGGTGTGAAGCGCAAACCAAACCGTCGCCGAATTCTCCAGGTAATTTGAAATGACCTGAATCTTTGAAGCACCTGAACCAAGAATTCTCTCGTTCAGCTGTAAAACCTCTGTGGTGCCTAGCTGCCAAGTCAACCGAGGGAAACACGGAGGCCGGGATACTGCTAGACTGCTCAAGTTTAGACAGAGGAAGTCGAGAGTCAGGTTCGAACCACGGACCTTACGGTCAGTAAGTTTGCGCTCTAAACAGTGAGCCACCTCGCCCCCTCTGAGCGAAGAAGAGCAATATCGTCTGCATATTCAGTGTCCGTGAGCGAGCTTTCCGGGAGTATTTTCACTCCCGAGGTTCCACAGACAGATTGGGAAATTCCAAGCGCCAAATCAAAGAGAAAGCTGAAGAGAAACTATACGGCCAGATATCCTCAATGACGTATGTACTATGAGCCAACTCGGGTCAACGCGGATTAAGGCAACCAGGAACTTTCATACCATCACCAGCCAGGGCGAAAACCGTAAGAAAACAATAGTGAGCAGGGAAACATATTGTTTAGAAAACAATATACACCGGCAAGCGACCGGGCGGTAAACAAAGCACCGACGGAGACAGTATAGCATGGGAAATTTGGATAGGCAAGGTTGACTTTCAGGCAGGGATATTTGATGTGCACTGTTCCTTGCTGGTTGACTCGATAAGCTGAAAAATTGGTAGAAAAAAGAAGGGAAGGATGTTATTCTAAGGAAAATTGACTGAGCAGAGTCAGACAGATATAGAAAGCTCACTAGAGAAGGGTTCAGGCATTAGGCTAGAAAGGTTCACGGACACTTTTGTCTTGTTTTTGAGAATCATGTACAGTTGAATGTGAGCGAACTAGGACATGACCTCGGAAGGTGACAGGTAGACAGGAAGCCCCAGTTCATGGGTCAAGGTCCGAAAGCATCCAAACAGCGTGCTAAACCCCAAAGTGCATCCGGCATAAGTGGATAGGATACAAGTAATACGAATAATTATACCAACAGCTGTAAACAATAAGTCCTGTCGTACAAGAGAACACTACAAGCACAGACCTTCGACCATAAATGTCCAGATGTTGTCTCAATGTCATTTCTAGTTGAAAACTAGATGTAAGTGTATACACATAGTAGAGTATACGGTAAACGCTGGAAGAACGGAACGTCTCCCGGTTTTCGCGTTAATGTGTTTATACGTATTCACGGACGATCGATCTGCCAGCGAACGAATCTGTTCTGATTCGTTTCTAATGACGTATAGTTCCCCGAACAATGTGCTGACAGTCTCTGCCTAGGGTCATTAGATTGCGTTCGAGCGAAACTGCTTTGAGGTGATAAAACAACAAGTACCGTTGAATATACTGTGCATACTAAGTGAGCTAAACTTTTGTCTCAATCGACAGTGAGTTAGCGCAGTCGACTGGACCTATCGAATACTCTTCACACTTAGTAGGAAATTATCTTTCATTTATATTCAAACGGATCAGAATGTGATTGAAAATAGGGTTTCTGGACAACTGAAGGGACCACAAGGAACAGTCCAACTTCTAGTGTGCTGGTGTCCCAGAAGAAAAACATTTAGAGGATACTAACTGATTCCAGCAGGAGACATACACTAGTTCACTCAAGGGTACCCATATGCGATAGAGGATGGTGTTCCCATTTGATGAGAACCCAGCTACTAGATTCAGGAGGGCTATCTATCCCATTCTACTTAGCCACGCCAACACGAGAGTAGCTTATTCATTTGGAAGTTTCAAGTGGCCACCAAAGTTTCATTGAACAGGATGCACAGACTGCCTGGCCAAGGAAAGTGCACACAGGACTGAATTCGAAATTTATTCATCAGATCAGGCCTCAAGTGGATCGCAGATAGGTCTAATAGGATAGGAACACAAACCGGTTCCGCAGGGTTGGTACTGGCAGATGACAAAAGCTTCGGGGTTTTTCAAAGCCGAATGAAGTGTTGTCTCTGAGCTGGATCACTTTCGTAACCGACCAGATTGAACCGGAGGCCGTCTAGGCTATCTGCCAAAAATGTATACAATCCAACAGCAACGTGTAGAAGGACTGAAAATTCGTACAGTTTTGAACAGACTGCTACTCGCGTACCGCGTTCAAAGTCTTCACTGGAAGCTTACTACAAGCTTTCCATGTTAGAGGGGAAGGTTTCTGGGGCAGAACGCACTCTTCCAATCCGGATTACTGTATGCCTTCTGATCATGCAGTCGAGACATGTCAAGACATGTCACTGGCGTTGGCCAGTGAAGGCCGCACAGCCTGGTGCTCTGATCACCGTTACGGGATGAGCCCGGCTAGGGGAAACACCGGCTGGTTCCACTGGCGAACCGAGCCAACAATAATGATGATCGTTCAATTTTCGATACATAGCTGGCATGCCATCTGAAGGAAGCACAAGGGCTGGGATATTGCCAGGTTGCCCAAGCCTAGACAGGGGAAGTCGAGAGGCAGAGGTCGGGTTCGAACTGCGGACCTTCCGGTCAGTAAATTCGCGCTCCTAACGACTTGAGCGATCTCGCCTCACCGAGCCAACAGACTCTAACCAAATGATAGTTACTTAGAATTTTGACTTCTTCAGTTTTCAGGTTGAATACTGGTCAACGTGGTTAAGGAAATACCGTTTGTCTTGACAGTTTCGAGTACGTAGAGTTCTCTTCTTCCAAAAATCGAAAGCTCGTCACATCATTTTCGTTTGGTTGGTGCTACTTAGTTCTAACCAATGTGATGCGTCAAATACTGCCATGCAGTGAAATCAATAAAGTAAAATCCAGTCAGATTCTAAACGCCTAGCGATGCAAAAACTCTGTATCCTTTTTGAGACTCACAAAATGACCGTAAATGAAATGTAGGCAAAATAGTTATTTAGTAGCAGCTTCAGGCTGTCGACCGCAGGATGAGAAATCCACCGACTTTCCTGGTCAGCTGATAGCTTGGTTGGAAAGGAGTGTTTCATCCAACCTAGCTATCAACTGAGACTTCTTGCGTCAGACTAGTCAGACTATTTACCGAACAAATAACCTATCCCTACAGAGACGTTAACTTGATAGCTACCAAGTCATGAGCTAGGGTGTACTGAGAACTTGAAAAGATTGCTCCGCTGTAGCATCCTTTCCGTGCTTAACTGCCATGCCACTAGAAGGGAGCATGACAAGTGGGATACTGCAAGCCTAGACAGGGGAAGTCTAGAGGCAGCGGTCGGGTTCGAACCACGGACCTTCCGGGCAGTAAATTCGCGCTCTAACTACTGAGCCATCTCGCCCCGGAACGGAAGCTCGCTGACACAAGGTCGCCCTTCCTTATTGGGAGTTATCGGACCACGAAAATGACACAAAACCTCCTAACCACCTAAGTCTGCTCGGCGGACACGGGAGTCTGCGTTCGAAAGCCTGGAGGGTCACATGACCAATTCCATCATACGCTCATTCGATGAATCTTAACAGGACTGAATGGAACGCAAGTGAATTAGCCTGAGAATTGTGATCAGCTGGGATGATCTAATTCAGCATAAGTACGCGCTAAAGATATGTCCGTAGATCATCGACGACGTAGTACCCAGTCTGGAACGGTGACGACCTTGAAAGTTGACGAATGGTGCGTTCGCCAGTGACTAGTCAAGCTAACTTCCTAGGAGTACACTACTGACACACCACAAAGACAGGCTTTTCTGTAGAATGCAAAGAACGAAGGCGGCAAGGAGCACAACGCAGTTCCGTAACCATAGATCAGATGTTGACCCAAAGTTGCCCGGTCACGACGATTATCCGCAATTTTTAGTTACTGCCGAACATGGTAATTTTAGCCCATAGGTAGTGAAAAACGGCAAAATCCACCAAATGAAATCACTGTGACATAACTAGACTCCTGATGTATTCGCCAAAAATGGTAGGTAGTTTGTTCACGAATGCGATGTACAAGTAAGTGAGTTGCAGGTTATTCCGAGGATTCGGACTCTTCTGGACCAATACACTAAGACCCAGTGACCTTGTCATTTCATGTGACTTTCGCTTGTAAGATACCGGCTTGAATGCTCACCAGAGCGTGTCCATCACATGACTCAGTCGATCGATCCAAGCCAAGTTACTCGTCGTATCGTCTCACTGGACATTAAAATTTTAAGTTACGCTTCAACTGTGTAGCGAGCCGACACCCCGTAAAAATTCGGCGTCAGATATCGTGCGTGAAAGCCATGAAACCCGACTCGCTGTGGGCGTGTTGGAAATGAGGACTGAACAAATCGATGGCCAAGTAAGAGTAAAGTAAGGGCTCGTGCTTCCAAAGGTGGATTTTTAGCATTGGTGCCATTGAGCGCACTAGCTAAGTACCTACCGTACTCATTGTTATCATCGGCAGCAGTAAAAATAGCGTAATTATCCTACAGTCGTTATAGCTGCTACACATTCCTTCGCCGATGATTTGGGGAGGTGAGTTAGATAGCTGCGCTGCTATGATCGACGAGTAAATCCAGGGGATCAGTGCACGTTTCGTTGGGGTGATCGGAAAGAGAGCTATGCTTTGAAGGCAACAGCTTGGATGTACGAGCGCCACTGAGGGCGCGGCTATACCATATCTGACAGTGTCTCTAACCATTGATGTGTTCCGCCTCGGGGTTTCCATTCAGGGAAAGGATAATGACCAACGCAGTTAGGTTTACTGGTAATGGCTATTTATACCGCGCTGCCAAGTCATTGTTTGACCTGCCTCCGCCCGTTTACACATCTCACGCGGTGATGCTGAAACGACCCAGTCACAAATAGCTGCGCAATGGTTACGAGTGTTTTAGCGAATGGGGACAAACTGAAGTTCCAGAGCGTGAGAGCAATGTTCAAGACGATCGTGGTTGGATGACAGAATCAAGCATCAGACAAGTTATTCACGTATAAGAGGGACCAAATAATATGGCTTTCAAACTTAGCTACGTCTTGCGCCATTTCTGTCAAGTGCCCTAATACGATTGGCCAGCGCTGAAAAACATGGAGATTTAGCAGGGTAGAGTAGTGTTTGTGAACCAGCATCACCTGTAGCATAGGCGTGACATCAGCTTATCCGTCAAGGGTCGAGTTTATAATGCTGCGATGGATCCATATTGCTCTACAGATAAGAAACCTAACCCTGCGTGCTGAGGACGTCAAAAGTCCTTCAGTGTTTGACCATTGATGTATTCGGAGCATTGCCTGAGTCCTGTGGGAACACCGGATCAGCAGTGCTGAAGTACGTCGAATGGTATTCGGGAGAAATAACTCACCCTCGATAGATGAACTGATCACACTGCACAAAACGATTACTATGAATTATAAATTCGATAATGAGAGACATGAATGTCGTGTCATCAACAAAGAGCATGCTTTCGATGCCATAAAACGGGTGTCTCTGAATCGACCAAGACTGGTACGATCCAGACAATTATCAACCAAAGAAGCGAAGGGAATCCGACTGCATGACCCCAATAATTCTGTGTCCGAAAGAAACTCGTACGACCTCTGAACATAATCGGACGGTGAAAAATCCGGTCTCACAAACTTGTATGACATTGACGTCCCTCACTCAATGACTTGCCGACCCGTGTCATCATTATCATCATCGTCGACAGCATGACATTAGTGTTCAAAACCGATGCTTCGCTGCGGTAATACGGCAAAGATGCGCTTTTCACGGCGGATAATGATAACGATGATGAGTACGACAATAAAGCACATAGTAGCTCTGGTCAGAGCTATCGGTTGAATTATCCGATGAACATGCTTGGATATGTTTCGAGCTTCGAAGTAAAGAAGACATTCAGTGAAGTCGTCCCACTTCACCATACATTTCCAATCCCTGTTTGATCATGAAAGGTAAACAGCCGGTGTGTATGCTTTTGAACGGTACCAGAATCAACCGGACAAACATACTAATGAATTTGAGAAACGAGAATTATGTACCACGTTGAAGTACATAGGAAAAACATGGAAGTGGAATAAAAAACAATGTGACCTATCACTTTACCCATTTGATCCCAATGATATTGATATTCACATAAGATGGCCCTAGGAGAACTCGATGTACACAACGACCATTCGACCATAGTGGATGCATCTAACCAGCCCCGCCAAATTTATGTGATTACCCGCTGCAACAACAGTTGTAGCGGCAACCACTGGGGCGATTCGATCTCCAAGTCTACAACTGTACTTTGTCCGGAATAACGGACAACATAAGACGTAGAAATCACGATTGTCTTTGACACCCTCTACAGCGCCCGCTTCTCTAAAGTGACCGGACGCGTTCGGTGCCAATGTGGAGGGGTTATCATCATCATAATCATTGTCAGCTGTAATAACCCCGTAATCGTTGTCAAGTGGTTGTAGCTGACGCAGTTTCGTTCACCGATGATTTGGGGGGTAGGTAGCTGCGCATTGCAAGCGGGAGCTGATAAATTGGTGCATAAATCCAGCGTTGTCGGTGG